CTATCTTTTGGGAATTTGGCTACATCTGTCTCTAGGGATCTAGGGTGACCTACTTGGAATGCTTTCTCCTTGAATTTCTCCTTGATCAGGGGCTGGGTTTCATTACATGTAAATATTAGGGCAGTAGATCTTCAGAGATTAGATAAAGTGGTTGGAGATTCTGTATGTGCTTGTACCACTCCTTAAGATGAATGTTTGCATTATGTATCAGAACTTGCACTAATGAAATAGAAAATAGTTTGAAAAGGTAGAACAAACACAAGGAAGTTAATTAATTCAGTATTATGAGACTGGGTCTTGCTATGTAGTTCAGCCTGGCCTTGAATTCACTATGTAGCCCAAACTGGCCTGCACTTCAAGGTGCTCCTCCTGCCTCAACCTCCCAAAACACTGAGATTACAGGTGTGGGCCACAATGACCAGCTAAAAATCACACTTTTGGGTTTTTGTTTTGTTTTGCTTTTTGTCTTTTTGACAGAGTTTCACTGTGCAGTTCAGGCTGGCCTTGAACTCACTTTGTAGTGTTACAAGCAGCTGAGCTCCTTAGAAATAGTCTAGGAAGTCAGACAGGGTCAGGCCCTAACAGAAGCCAGCACAGAGGACCAGATGTCTGATGACCTTGGAAGGGACACACACCTCTTGCTGTGGGCCAAATCTTAGGACAGAAGGCAAAACAAACGAAACCACACCCTTAAGTATAATCACCAGGGATTAAGTCTGGATCACCTTGAGAAGCCAGGAGTCACCATCCCAACCCCTATAGGAAGAGCCACTGAAAGCATGCTGGTTTGCTATGTAATTTGCTTCCCCATTCAGCCCTGACTTGGTCAATTTTACCTGAACAATTAAACTCACTAGTTGACCATAGTTCTGTCCCACCTCATGCCCACCTGCCTGGAGCATTCCCAGTTTTCCCCAGCTTAGATCCACCTCATCTCATGATTTTACTCTATAAAAATCCTTAGAAAATACATAATCTCTGGCAACCCACTCGGGACCCCTTCCGTTTCTCTCTCAGACAGAAGCTTTCTTTCTCTCAATAAATATTTCTGCTCTTAATCTCCGATGTTGCTAAAATTCACTCTTCGATTTTAGAGAACACGAACTTGTTCCAGACAGATGACAGGTAGGGAGTTTTGTTCCCCTTCTATCAATAGCACAGGCTTCTCTTAAACTCGCAGGGATCTTCCTGCCATAGTGTCCCAATTGCTGGGATACATCACCATGCCTGTCTACAACTGTAGTGACTTCAGGGCACAGGGCTACTCCAGATTATCCCTATCTGTATTTAACTATATTTGCTACTTTGTTTATGCTCCTTTTCTTTCAGGCCTTTTGAAAGGTTCTTGCCTAGAATAAATTACTGTAAGGTTATCGTGTAGGGTTATGGCGGTGTCTACTGTGGCAGAAGGCCAAAGCGGGAGGCCTACCACTTCTTGCTTCTTCCTCAGCCTTAATTACAACTCTCCTTCCTGTTTGTGAGTGAAGAAAACTCCAATCAGCTCCTCATGTGTCATCAATGCCTGCCCTTAAGTGCCCCAAGTTTCCGGCCAGAAAAAACCAGGCCGTCAGCAGTCTTAGACTTCTAGCCACATTCTTGGAATAAAGTCTATTTTTACTTTGTATTCTCTTTTTCATCCCGCCGAAAACTCTTTCACCTATCAAACTCAAAACCCCTTAATGTCTGTAAATTAGTTTAGTTGATAAAGTAAAGGTCAGAAACTTGATCTTAAAGAGTCAGATAGTTAACTTTCCAGGCAAAATAGATCACCCAATTTAAAATACAACAGACCAGGCCCATGCTTTCTCCTATAAAGCAGCTGTTATTTTTCTGTCTGTGGTGGGCCAATTGTCCCCCACCCTAGTAAACCAAACCTGAACTATTTTGGGGGGTTTTTGTTGTTATTTTTGTTTCAAACAAGGTCTCTTTTTGTAGTTTAAGCTGCCCTTGAACTCTTGGTGATCCTTCTGCCTCAACCTTCTGACTGCTGGGATTACAGGCCTGGACCATCATGACCAACAAGCCTAAACTTTGTATGGATTCACAAATTCCACAGATTTCCATCCTCTAAAAATATATAAATAGCTTGGGCATGGTGGTGGCCACCTGTGAGTCTAGCACCTAGGAGGCTGAGGCAAGAGGGTTGCCAAGAGTTTGAGACCTTCGTGGAATCTGTAGTGAATGTAAGACAAGCCTTCAATACACCAAGACCTTGTTTAAAAAAAAAACAAATAAGGGCTAGAGGTTTAGCTCAGTTGCACAAGTGCCTGCCTGGCAAGCATGAGGTCTCAAGTTCAATCCCTAGTCAAAAAAAAAAAAAAAAAAAAAAAACCCAACCCCCCCAACAAAATATGTGAATACTCCCAGCTAAAGACTATAAGGTGCTTCACTCTCTTTTTGAAGGCTCACACTCTGATTTGAGTATGTACTTTTAAAAGTCGGCCTAAAATATCCCTATTCATCTCACTGAAGCACCCTGAATTTTTCTCTAACTGAAGTCCATAACCTACAATGTGCCAGGGGATGGGTGAGATGAGTCCAGTTCCCTATCTCTGCTCTTGGAGTCTCCTTGGTGACATAACTGTTAGGCAGGTATTAGACATTAGCAGGCCTGAGGGATAAAAGGGAGTCCAAAATAGCACACTTTTCCAGTTACAAGTAAGCAACAAAGCCAGAGGTGGTGAACTATGTCTATAATCCCAGTATTCCAGAGGCTGAGGCATCACTGAGAGTTCAAGGCCAGTTTGGGCTACATAGTGAGTTCAATGCCAGCCTCAGCTTTATAAAGTAAGACCCTATCTCAAAAAGAAACAAACAAACAAACAAAAACTGTATAATGGAAACAAAAGCAATCCCACAGAGTATACTGTCATTTTAAGGTTTTTTTGTTACAACATTCCTTCCCATGTCTAGCCACCAGGCTATTTCCAAAATGAGGGATATAGCATTTCTGAATGTCATGGAATGATACCAGAAAAAAGGAGCATTCTTTAGAGACCTGCGCTCCTTGGGCTAAGACCTTATTTCTACAGTCAAAGCCCCTAAAGGGACCACTGGGTATCTAAAGACAACAAGGAAGATGTTTTCAAGATATCATCATTGTAAAGCAACCTCCAAGAAAAATGTCAGTAAGCATCACAATTGCCACATAAAAAAAGGTATCCAAGCTTGCCCTGGATACAGATGTCTGCAACACACCCTTCACCTTCTCTCTAGAAGACATAATTCTCTATATATCTTTACAATAAAGTCTATCTATATTCCTGCAGGGCTGCCTAAGTATCTGGCTGAAATCTTTCATAAAGGGCACAGAAGAACCAAAGATCAATGAGTGAGGCGCCGGTTTTGTTGCTGTGTCAATCAATATAGAGCTTCCTGGTCACATGACAACTTCATTCTTAATATTAACAACTGAATCTCCTTTTTATTAGGAAAGAAAGGCTTTTCAGCCATTGACTTTTCCTAAAGGCAACACTATGTCATTATAAAGTAGAAGAATCCATCATAAATTGCAGCAGATTTTAATCATGGTCAATATGATACAATTTTGCATGTAACTGGTCAACTAACCTTAAAAACTTTCACTCTTGTTCATCTAGGTGTACTCCAAGGAGTTCTTGCTATTGGTCCTCCATTTGAAAGAAGAATGAGATAAAAGAGGTTGGTTTGTGACTATTTTAAGGCTGGCAAACATAAATGGCACTTTCACATTTCATTCCCTTTCCCTAGATTTACCCGAAATGATCACCTATGGCCCTAGGAAGAGCTAAAGTCTACAGTGTATTGCAGGCTGGCTGCTCAGATCACAGCCTAAGATCATGACAGAGGATTGTGTTCCTGACCAGTTAAGCAAGCTACTTTGAGATCTTTTTCACTCTCCACCTCTTAAATCTCAATTCCTTCCTTTGTAAAATGGGAATAAGATGTCTTGCCTATCTCCCTGGGATGTCAAAGTTTAAATTAGATCAGGTATGATTAGCCTCATTTTCTTGAAAAGGACAAAATGCTTTAAGAATTATAAAGTGAAATGGTGCTAGCATCTGCCCTACAGTGTGTGTAAAACTGGCAGGTGTGTGCATCAGAATCATTTCCTACACCTTGGCCAATTGAGACAATCACTAAAATAGAAAGTGCTTGCCAGGAAATGAAATGCACCTCTTCACTCATGCGTGACTCATCAAACTGAGTGACTTCCTCTTTTTGGACCCAGCCATCCTGTTTCCCTCTCCGAATTTTGCTCTCCAGTTCTCTCTGAGGAGTGGTGTGTGTGTGTGTGTGTGTGTGTGTGTGTGTGTGCACACGTGTGTGCGCACGCACATGTCACTGGCCATTCCGTGTATTCACATCCCCAGTGCAAGTGCAGCAAAAGAGGCACCAACAGAGGACAAAAATGAAAAGGAAAATCCCACAATCCCATCTTGTAAGAGTGTATCTAGCAAGAGAGAAATCAAAAAATATCATTGCATAAATTAAGCAGTCAGCAGAAGCCCAACAATGTAGTGGACAACACGGGAACCATCTTGATGCCCTGGAGGAAACAGTATATGAACTGGACCTGTAAATTCTCTAACTTTATAGGCAAAAAACAACAGAATGTTATATTTTTAAAGTGCCTTTAAAAGTACACTGTCTCATAGAAATTCACAATAACCCTGTGAGACATAGGAACTAGCAACCCTATGGATGAGGAAATTTATCTTCACAATATTTGGCTTGCTTAAATCATGCAGTAGGTGGCAGTCTGAACCTAAACATATATTTTATCCCTGATTCAGACACAAAGGCAATACCTTAGTTTAAATTCTAGCTGCCCTTCAAATATTAGTCTAAAGCCATAGCTATCAGAAAGATTTCCTTGAACTCTCAACTGATATTGAATCCTTAAAATATTGTTTTTCTTAGAACACTAAAATCACTTTGTCATTCATTACTATAATTGAAGTATGAATTTTGCTTCATTCAGTAGGTTGCTGGCATATTTATTAACGAGATGAGGCTTCACTGTTGCCAAGGCTGGCCTTGAACTTCTGGACTCAAGTGACCCTCCTGCCTCAGCCTACTAATTCTACTCAGTAAACTTGCATTGTTTGACCATTGTTATTATCAGCATGATTATTTCCATTGTAGAAATACAACAGAGACATGAACATCCCAGTAACTGAAATATTTTTTGTTCTACCAGGAACATAACATCCAAACCTTTGTCACATATGCTCAAAGCGTTTTCTTTTAACCATTTTATCTGTATTTCAGAAGCATCTTTGGTGGACTATGTTGGGACCAACTTCATTAAATTCTGCAGCAGTGATCCACATGTCCTGGAAGGCAGACAGGGAGGCAAGAATAGAACCTCCCATCCAGGATGAAAACTTCCTTTCTGGGGGCGCTATAACCTGCACAGCAGTGTTAGCAGGCACAATCTTTGCCATATCTTTTACTAGCCGCTTGTCTAAGCCAGGGAAGGAGGTCGATCCCCCAGCAAGGATAATATTGGAGAAGAAAGAGTTTCTCAGATCTGTGTCACATTTCATTATGGCGCTGAAGCACATCTTATCAATGCCAGGGGCGTCAATGTTGACAAGACACGGAGCGAAGAGGGCCTCTGGACAACGAAAGAGTTGTTCATGGAGCTTGATGGTCTGCCCATCAGGGAGTTCATAAACTTTCTCCAGGCAACTGGGTTTCTTGGCTATTTCCTCTTCGTAGTTCACTGCCACATAACACAGGGTCTCCTTAATGTCTTTGACAGTCTGTCTGTCCGCGGCACTCAGCAGCATAATATTACAGTCCTTCAGTAACATCTTGAGGTAGTTGGTAAGGTCAAGGCCTGCTAAATGTAGCTGCTGTACACCATGAGGTAGACAGTAACCCTCAAAGATTGGCACACACTGGGTAAGCCCGGCACCCGAATTCAGCACCAAGCCAGAAGTAAAGCCAGCAGCAAAGAGAGCCAGCAAAGCCTGGGTGCACATGTAAAAAGCAGGGACACCTAGGTGCTCAAAAAACACCTCAGTGATCTGTTGGCGGTTGACCAGTGGGTTCAGGGCTGGCTCAGTAATCAAGACTGGGCAATCGCAGGGGCTTAGTTTCAGATTACAGTCATAGATGTGCTTCCACATGATCTCCATATCCCCCCAGCAAGTGATGAGACCACGCTCCACGGGATAGCTGTAGGGAAAGCAAGAAGATAAATGGCAGCCTTTCAGTTCTCCAACTTCTACGGCCTCCCAAATCTACTAGTTTTCATATTATCAGTACCCTTTTATAGGCAGTAACTACCAAAGCTTCTCAAAGAAAGTAACTGCCGGCAAACATGCTGGGACCCACCTTCCCGTGCAATTATTTATTGCTTTCTTTTTTCCCTCCCCTTTGGAAGATGGTGTTTTAAAGTTGTGGTCTGGTTTTAACAAAACCCCAAATGACAAAAGTAGGCTAATTTATGAAATACTTTTAAATGAACTCGCGTTACGACCAATTTTATATGTATGAATACATCTGTATAGATACAGAGAACAAATTACGGCGTCTTCAGACTTTGATATCATAGACTTGTGGCCCGCCTACTTTTAACCCAGCAGGCCGCCCGGATGCTCCTGTCCCCGGGCTCAGGGTGGCGCCCCTGCTCTGGGCTCCTGCACCCGGTTCCGAGCAGAACGAGGAGGAGGCGGGGAAGCTCACTACCTGATGGACAGCGAGCTCCTCCTCTCCTGCGCTTCGTCGCCCACCCACAGCTCCCGCGAGCCCTCGGCCTCCGAGCTGCGGCCCCTGGCGCGGCCGATTATGTTGGGGTACACGAACTGGGGCCCGCGGACCCCGGCCAGGCCCGCCTTGATCATTCCCGAGCCGTGGTCGAGCACCACGGAGCGCGGCTGGGCGCTCATGCTGCCGCCGCCGAGGCTGCCGGCGCCCCCGGCCCGGCTCGGCTCAGGCTCCGCGAGCTCCGTCGCGACGCGCGTCACAGAGCGCAGCCCGCTCCGGGAGGCCCGGCCCCAGCCGCCCTGGGCTGAGTGCGCGGGGACCCGGCGCGCCCCCAAACAGGCAGGCCTAGCCGTCCCGGGCGCGGGGCCGCACCTCCCAGCCGTCCCGGGGTGCACACAGAGCACCCCGAGGCCCGAGACCAGGCAGGGCAGGGGAGCCTCTAAAACGTGTGGCTCCTAAAAGAGAAAAAAAGGAACAGTATGGGGCTATAAAATGAATTTTAAACACTTTTATCGGTGTCTGTATCTTAGGGAGGACTTTACGCCCGGCCTGTGCTTTCTAAAAATGGATGTGATTAAAACAAGATGACAAGGGGACCCAAAGAATGGAAGGAGAGGAGGGGAAGGGGAAAGGAGAGAGTTAGGATGGCTTACGAACCAACTCCCACCAGGAGCGTAGTAGTCATACTGTATACTGAAAACTGGACTAAAAAGAGCCTGAAGAATTTTTTTTTTTTAAAGAAAAACCTATAGGACAGCCTCTCACTTTGAAAATGCATGGCACTGAGTCACAGGCCCTGTTCTCGGGCGCTTACTCTCCCGCCGAGTCTTGATTTGCTGTGGGAAGTATGGGTCTCCTCTGCGGGAAAAGTGAGAGTACTTGGTTGGCACGAAGTTCAAGTTAGGAGAAAAGCACGTGTGTGTGTGTGTGTCGGTTTTGAACGTTTTCAGGGGATGCTTGAAACAAGTACATAAATGAGAACCTCTGGTCTTCTGAAGCCCAAAGAAGGGAATTAATTCAAAAATAACTTGACACGCCTTCCCCCACACGCTGAGTTTTGGGCGAGGGGACTGGCAGCGCTCCCGGTGGGCCCCGCGCTACTACCCCTCGAAGCCCCGCCTACCCTAAAGCCTGCCCCCGCCTGGGCTGAGCCGAGCGGGCAAGACACTGCCCCAGCGGTAGGAGTCTGCCGTGCTCCACAAGCCTGAGGGGGCTCGGCTATAAAGAACAGTCAACCGAAAACTTGTGACGTAGCTTTAGCGCAGTTCAATCTAGCATATACTTTAATTTTTGTGTATTTTTTCCTTCAAAAGTATACTGAGCTTGAGAACTACATGTTAGTATATGCTTAGATATCAGGGACTTTTTGAAGCACATGTAGCAACGGTTTCCGTAGTGTAGTGGTTATCACGTTCGCCTAACACGCGAAAGGTCCCCGGTTCGAAACCGGGCGGAAACAACTTTTTTTATAGCGGTATCTGACAGTAATGCATAAAGTTAGATGAAATCTTTAAAATATAGACCTTCTAACAGAATTTGAATTTTCAGTTCGGGTAATACCTTATGCTTTTACCAAATGTTTTAATTGCAGGCTTGCTTGACTTGTGGAAGAAGTGCCCCAAATTAAGAAAAACTGAATTTGACTATGAACTATCCTAATGCTTAAAAACGTTAGTGCTTAGAAGGGAAGATCATAGTATAAAAAGCTAAGCTTGCTGCCTGGTGTGCCTTCTTTATGCTATGTCATTTAGTTTTACCTCGTAGAAATCACATTTTCCCCTAAACGCATATAGTGTCACATTAGGGTCATTCATTTCTGACTTAATTATTGAAAAGTGTCTCTTAAAAATAATTTTTAAAAAGATGGAATGAGAAAAACAGTTACAGAAAATTGAATCAAAGACCCAGTCTCAAAAAATTTTAAGAAACACAATGGCTGTATTCATAAAAACTATTCTTGCACAGGATTTCTAGAAAGCAATTTATAGAGAATCTGGCAGAAAAAAAAAACCTGACAAAAGGAAAAATGTGAGTTGAAACTGTCCTTTAGAATAAGTTTTAGGCAAATACCCTAAGGTTCTGACACACACTTTCTTCTTCCCGGTACCGAGGATCAAACTCACGACTTTACGATTGCCAGGCAAGTGGTTATGCCACTGAACTAAATCCCCAGCCCCTGACATAGCCTTGACGCAGAGAAACGCTTTAATTTGTGGTTTTCTGAGATTTATGATGTTTAAGCTTTCTAGGGAAGAATGTCCCTAATACATCAGCAAGACTTACTTTATCTGGTACTTTTTGTGTATTGCAGACAGAACTGGAATCTTTTCCTTCAATGTACAATACCCAAATTGGATGTAAATAATTTTATTAAAATCATCAAGTCCAGGAGCAGGAAAACCTTTTCCGGTATAAAGCCCACCTTCCTCTAATGTTGCGCATGCCCAGTGCGCCCTACCGCTTTGCTCCGCTTTCGTGCGGCTCCGACTTCTATCACCAGGTAAGGACATCCTGCAAGCCGAATTACAGTTAGCTGGCGAAAAACAAAATCCAGGGGGTCCCAAGAGCCTTAGAGTACGTAAAGGGGGAAAGGGTGATCGGCATGAGCTCAAACGTCCCCCATGACCGACACACAGAGTACACAAAGCAGCGGTTTCCACTGGCGGGGCTCCGAGGAGGAGGATGACGGGAGAAGATAAGGAACTACAAGCCCCAGCATGCAGTGCTGCGTGGCTCCTGCGGAGGCCGGCGGGCCGCGCTGCCCGGTCTCGCTCTGGAACCCGGGCCGACCACTACTGGCTGACTGCCGACTGGAATGCTCAGCAAGAGGAAGACGGACTCAGCGCTGAGAACGAGTCTTTCGGCCTTGTACCCCTGACGCTTGCAGACTCTAAGCCCTTGGTATGCTGGGCAGTCGGCGCTTTGAGGGCCAATTGATAGGCCCTAGCTGGTACCGGAGCTTCACAACCCTGGCGCTGCCTATGTTGCCAAGGGAACTCCAAGCCGGACGTGACGCCGCCGTGCAGGAAGAAGGGAGAGGCGGGGCGTGACGCGGTGACGTCCTCCCAAGATGGCGGAGAGAGAGTGAAGAAACTGTTTTCTCTGGGTAGCTATCGGTGAGTGTCTACTACACCCGCTGCCTTCCATCCTTGCACCCTTCAGACCCTGGGCCATCCCAAGGCAGGCCCCTTAGAATTCGAGAGCGGGTCGCGGTGAAGGTGTAAGACTCGGCCGAAGCAGCCGCGGCAGTGGCTCTGACCACAGCCTGTGCTGGGGGCAGTTCGCGGGAGTGGGAGCTGGGCGGAGGACTGGGCAGCAGAACACAGGAGGTCTGGCATTGGTTGTCACTTTCAGATTCCGTCTCGCGTGGAGAGAGCGAGAGGGGAGGGGTGATGGTCTCTTCCGGGCTGGTGACGGCACCTTTGACAGCCTGGACTTGGCTCAGTCCCCGTCTCCTGGGCACCTTCCCTGCGCTTTAGAGAAACTGCACAGCGAAGCTGACAGCTTTCGGTGATTTTCGAACAATTATTTTTAAAACTCATACTGTGGTCTCCAATAGTGTCTCTTTTTTCTTGACCATATGTATGCCTACTAAGCTTTGAGGGTTTAATTGATGTAAAAGCTTGTATTTGGCAGCCCTTTTGCAACTCATGGGAGTGTTTTCATTCACCATCATTTATTGATGTGTCCAAAGAATTGTGGTGATGCCCAAGGTAAAACAAAGACATCCTTCAGCATTTAAACTGTGTGTTTTAAGGCTTCTCAGAGGGGGTAAACCAAGAGCTAACTTTATTCTTCAGGAACTTCTCTGTCCCTTTTCCCCCTACCTATCCCGCAGTTATTTAGGTAAACATTTGTGAAAACTTACAGGTACTGATTTATCTTTCTTTTTATCTTTTAGATCAAGGGTAAATTTGCATCCTCATATCAAAATGCAGTATTCACACCACTGTGAGCACCTTTTAGAAAGACTGAACAAACAACGAGAAGCAGGTTTTCTTTGTGACTGCACCATAGTGATTGGAGAATTCCAGTTTAAAGCCCATAGGAATGTGCTCGCCTCGTTTAGTGAGTATTTTGGTGCGATCTACAGAAGCACTTCTGAAAACAATGTTTTTCTTGATCAGAGTCAGGTGAAGGCTGATGGATTTCAGAAATTGTTGGAATTTATATACACAGGAACTTTAAATCTTGACAGGTAAAGTACAAGTTTTATTTTCAGTTACAAAAAGTAGAATCTCAGGCCCCATTACAGATTTAACCAAATTTGAATCTTCATTTAGGAACCTCTCTGGGTGACTCACACACCGTTAACATTTGATAAGCCACTTGAAAGTCCTGTGAGGGAGCAGGAAAAAGTAGTAGAAAAGAGTTTGCATTAGACTGTTCCTGTTTCTATTCCAGAAAAGTTGGTTGCCATCTAAAAAGGCCTCAGAATGAATGTGAGGAAGCCAGCTCTTATTTTTGTGTTCCAGAACTTTTTTTTTTTGGCCAAAAAACTTAACATTTTATTTTTCTATAGTATTTCATTGGTAGCTATATATAGCCAATTTTCTCTTTCCGAGTTCTGTAAAATGGGAAATCATTGCTTAAACATACTGAGTTAAATTTTTAAAATGTTCTCTAAGTTATACCTTTTTCAGCATTCTGCTTTACTAGCATTTTAAAAGACATTGTAATATATGCAGCTGTCAGAAAAAAGTTTTTCTTTCATCAGAATACTGTCATTTAGCCTTTTTTTCTTGCAGTTGGAATGTTAAAGAAATTCATCAAGCTGCTGACTTTCTCAAAGTGGAAGAGGTGGTAACTAAATGTAAAATAAAGATGGAAGATTTTGCTTTTATTGCTAATCCCTCTTCTACAGAGATATCTAGTATTACTGGAAACATTGAATTGAATCAACAGACTTGTCTTCTTACTCTGCGAGATTATAACAACCAGGAAAAATCAGAAGAATCTACAGATTTAGTTCAGGCAAATCCTAAACAAGGAGCTTTAACAAAGAAGTCATCTCAAAGTAAAAAGAAGAAAAAAGCTTTCAACTCCCAGAAAACAGGGCAGAATAAAACAGTGCAGTTTCCCAGTGACATTTTAGAGAATGCATCCATTGAATTGTTCCTAGATGCAAATAAATTGACCACACCTGTAGTTGAACAAGTTGCACAAAGAAATGATAATTCAGAACTTGAGTTGACATCAGTTGTGGAGAATACTTTTCCAGCACAAGATATTGCGCAAACTGTTAGAGTGAAACGGAAGCGTGGAAAATCCCAACCAAACTGTGCCCTGAAAGAACACTCTATGTCTAATATAGCCAGTGTCAGGAGTCCTTATGAGCTGGAGAACTCTGGGGAAGAGTTGGATCAGAGGTATTCCAAGGCCAAGCCCATGTGTAACACCTGTGGGAAAGTATTTTCAGAAGCCAGTAGTTTGAGAAGGCACATGAGAATACATAAAGGAGTTAAACCTTATGTGTGCCACTTGTGTGGGAAAGCATTTACCCAGTGTAATCAGCTGAAAACACATGTAAGAACTCATACAGGTAAGACTGATTTGTACGGAGGTATCTTTTTTTTTTTTGTATAATTCTTTTATACTGTGACAAATTTGGGGGGGGTGCTTGAATTAAATCGAGGGCCTTGTGGATGCTGTGCCCTAAAATCTAAAATAATGTTTTTATAGAGAGTATATTAATACATGGCATTGAGTACTGATGACCAAAATTTGCCTTGTTCTTTTATTCATAAAATATTTAATGTTATACTGTTGAAAATTTATTATTTTTATTTTTTTATTTTTTTGTTTTTTTCCTTTTTATCGGTCCCAGGGATCGAACTCACGACTGCCTGCATGCAACGCAGGCACTTATGCTGCTGAGCTAAATCCCCAGCCCCGAAAATTTATTTTTGTAATTAGTATTTAATAACATCAGTTTCTTGTATCATTTTCTCTCAAAATAAGCATAACCTGAGTTCCACCTTTGGAGGGACATTTTCTCTTATCAGCTATAATCTTTATCTGTTAAGAAAATGTAATTACAGCTCTGGTCAATTTTCATGTATTACCAGCACTTATTATGTGCTTCCTAGACTTTGTGGATTTTTGAATATCTTTATTAGAATTATAGATACATTGTTTCCTGAAATATGAGCACTCACTGATACACTCAAATGTGCACTTTTTTGGATTGTTTTGTATTCTTACTGATCTCACTATTACAAGATAAAAAACGTTAGCTTCATTTCATTCTACTGGTGTTTCCAATAGTCTAGTGAGAGTTTTTTTCTGCTTTTATTGCTAGCAGTTAACATTTCTTGACTATCAAAACTAGCACTGTTTTTCTTGTTTTTTGTTTCTTTGAGACAGTCTTGGTGTACAATTCAGGCTGACCTTGAACTCAAGGCTGGCCTGAGGGCAGGTGTGTGCTATCTTGCCCAGCCAAAACTAGTTGAAAGCTTATATGACTTTAATAACTAAGCCAGATTTCTTTTCCTTCTTAATAAAACTTTTATTTACTTGTTCTTTTAGGTGAGAGGCCATACAAATGTGAATTATGTGATAAAGGATTTGCTCAGAAATGTCAGCTTGTCTTCCATAGTCGCATGCATCATGGTGAGGAAAAACCCTATAAATGTGATGTGTGCAATTTACAGTTTGCAACTTCTAGCAATCTCAAGATTCATGCAAGGTAAATAAGTTGTTTGACTTTAATCACCATAGTCTAATGAAAACACTATATTATATTGGAATTCATTACAGTAAGGCAAAAAATGTTAATGAATTTTTCTAAGCTAAAACCTCAGTATTCATGTTTAATTGTAGTGTTGGTACTTTGTGATAAATAAGTGAGTTTCGGGTTGCAGTTTGGCACTGAGTCAGTAAAAACTTTAACATCAGTATACTAATACAATATTCTCAGCACATATGAAGAGCCACCAGGAAGTCATGGTGGTTAAGAGGGAAATAAAAAGGGGGAAAACTAGAAATTAAGATAGAGTGTTTGGTGGTAGAAGTTTCTGTAGCCCATGTAAAGCTTTTCCTGTTGACACTGAGAAGTGATATGAGCTTGCCTACATTTTAAAGGATTATTTGGGTACTTGCTGTATAGTCATGCTTTGGCACTCAATGCATTTTGACGTAAAATTTTGTTTTGGTACCCAGTGGGCAAGCTAGAACTTGTTGGTGTAAATACTGTTTTTTTTGTACTGGGAATCGAACTCATGACCCCATACTTGCTAGGCAGGTGCTGGGCCACTGAGCCATATTCTCTAGCCCCAGAACAGTTTGGTATTTGTTATTTTTGGTGCTTTTTGTACCTCCTAGAACCAATTAACAAGTATTAGGTAACTCTGTTTTAGGAAGAGACTGCAGGATTGAGTTAATAAACTATGGATAAAAACCTAAGTAAGAATAATGCTGGTTCAGGCCAAGGTGACAGTGGAAGAGCTAAGTAGCAGTCAGATTCTGGGTACATTTTAGCAGTAAAACTAACAGAATTTATGAACAGTTTGGATGTGATGCCTGAAAGAAAAGTCAAAGATGATTTCAAGGTTTTAGGCAAAGGATCTGAAAAGGTAGAGTTGCCATTAACTAAGATGGAGAAAGGTTGTGGGTAGAGCAGCTTCAAGTCAGAGTCCTGGAGTTTATGAATATGGTTCTGAATGTTAAATTTGAAGTGACTATTATACGTCTGAGTAGAGATGCGCCATAGACAAGTGGTAATCAAAGTCTGGAGTTGAGAGCACTGATTTGAGCTGAAGACACTACATTTGGCAGTCATCAGTGTGTAAATAACATTTAAAGCTATAACACTGAAGTATACCACGTGAGTGAATGTGGATGAAAAAAAGATCAAGTCCTGAGGCACTCTTGAGAGATCTGGAAATTGGGGGGAAACCAGCAAATGTCGTAGGCAGGAGCAACTAACACAGGAAGGCTACCCTGGGATCCAGGAGAAGAAAAGTGTTCCAGCGAGGCACCATCAGCTGTAAAGAGCTGATAGGGAGAGCCGGGCGTGGTGGCTCACGCCTATAATCCCAGCACTCTTGGAAGGTTGAGGTGGGAGAATCATTGCAAGTTCGAGACCAGCCTTGGCTACAAAGTGAGCTCAAGGCTAGCCTGAACTGCATAGCGAGACCCCTTCTTAAAAAAGACAAAAAAAAAAAATGCTGATAGGGAGAGGACCACTAAGATTTGGAGATCAACATTGCTCTTGAGGAAAGCATGGTTAGGAAATGTTAATAGAGAACAGGTCAGTACAGAAGTAATGGAAATAGAAGTTTTGGAGACAAACTTTGGTGAAAGGAGAGATAAAGGAAGGAGCAAATGAGGTCACAGATCTTTTTTGTTAAGATGGAACAAGTCAGTATATTTTATGCTATAATCTCTTGGATGAATGATATAGGACAGGGAAATTTTAGGAGTGCGATCTCATACACTTTATAAATGGAGTCTTTGGATTGAGATGAACTATCATATTCATGTTATAGTTAACCCACAAGGAAAACAATGTTGGTGCAGATGCTCTAGGTAGACATCTTTTTTGATTAAATTTTTCTCAGTGAAATAAGCAAGATGTCAACTGGAAGTGAGGATGAGGAAGAAGTACTGGTTGTTTGAAGGAGTTTTAACAAGTGAGAGTGAATGGACTAGAGAAATAATTGCAGAATTAGGGGCCCACTATCAACCATGTAAGAACTAATTGATCAGAACTAATGTTTTGGTAAAAAATTAAAACATTTTTCTCAGTGAGAAAACAACTGTTGATTTTAAATTATATAGTTTTTGTTGTTGTTTTTTGTGGTTTTTTTTTTTTTGGTCTTTTTTGGGACAGAATTTTGCTATGCAGTTCAGGCTAGTCTTGAACTCTCTTTGTAGCCCAGGCTGCCCTCACACTTATAGAAGTTCTCCTGCCTCAACCTCCTGAGTGCTAGGGCTGTAGGCGTGAGCCACCATGCCTGGCTAAATATATAGTCTTAACCTATTAAGATGAAACAAAATAAAATGTTGTATGAAAAACACTTGCTATATAAATTGACCTTCCAATTGTTTTACTTACCAGAATATAACTTTATATTTGCAAACAGGAAGCATAGTGGAGAGAAGCCATATGTTTGTGATAGATGTGGACAGAGGTTTGCCCAAGCCAGCACACTGACCTATCATGTCCGTAGACATACAGGAGAAAAGCCTTATGTATGTGATACCTGCGGAAAGGCATTTGCTGTTTCTAGTTCCCTTATCACTCATTCTCGAAAGCATACAGGTAAGAGTTTAACATGGAGAGACTGCTTAAAATATGGATACTTCAAAAGAAAAAGGGGAATTGGGCGGTTATAGAAGGTAGATTGTGAATTTTGTAGTTAGATATACGTAATTGTAATTTTTAAAGCAGTATTTATAGTTGTCACATAAATATGAGCTATAAAAGCTAATTTTCTAGAATAAAAGGTGGGTGAAATTTTTGTTATGTAACATTAAAATCAGTATAGTGATTTTATAGTGTAACTTGAGGCCTTTTTTTTATGACTTTGGGGAACCTCCTTAGCCTCTTGAAATTTTATTTCCTTTGTCTAAAACTGTACAGTGAAGAGGCAGGGTATTATAAATGGGTTTTCATGCCTTCTTAGGATCTTGCCTTCAGAGACATTCTGAGATTTACACTTAAACAGATAACTCAAATGTAAATTATCTGTTTTGAAGCAAACTGTACTGGTTAGACTTTGATTTTTTTGGTAGGGTATGTTTCTAAATAGAATCTTTAACTACTGTTACTCTTGTTTAATAATAGATAATAAGGTTTGAAATAGGAATTGATAGATTTACATGATCTTAATCATATAAAAAATCAAAATCCTTGTCCAACTCATCTCTTCTTGAAGGGACATTAACAGGAATAAAGTTTTAGTATACAAAATTATCAGGTTATCTGAACAGTTCAAAATAATTGTTAATAACTCATGTAAGTTACAGTGCTGAAAATACCTCTGATATCCAATAGAGAGGTTTTAATTTAATATTTGAGAACAGCGTACTATAGATTATTTGTAATTGATAAGTATTATATATATTGGTATTAGTACACCACTTCGCTATCTTTTATTTTCCATCTAGGTGAAAAACCATACATATGTGGTATTTGTGGGAAAAGTTTTATTTCCTCAGGAGAGCTCAACAAACACTTTCGATCCCATACAGGTCTGTGTTTAGGGAGAATGTATTATTTTTTGTTCTCTCTTAATTTATTTTAATGTAAACTTTGGCTTTTAAACCATTGTGGACTATATGGTATCTAGTCATACTTTACCTATAGCAATAGCTTAATGTATAAATACCAACTTTTTATTTACTTATTTTTTAGTTGTTTGGAATATGAATGAAATTTGGTCAACAGTTGTATAAATTTTCAAAGAAATGTCAGATAATAGTTTTTAAATGATTTGGACTAAATTGCACAGATATACCAAGAAAGAAAAATACATAGGAAATACCAAGATGATATCAGATTTTACTAAAGTGTTTTTATATGTGATTACAAATGAATTTTAACACTGACATGTTTGTTAAAAAGTAGTGTGAAGTTGTGTGAAGAAAATACTGTATATAAAGAATGAAATAAAGAAAATGTCACTTTCAAAGTATATTCTTCATTTTAAAAGTTCTTTCTCGTGATTTTTGCCTAGATAAGTGTGAGCACCTAGTAGAGACTTAGTAACTGTGTTGGCAGCTTGCTTCTCAGTGTGGCCAGCCTGTGGCCAGCAGGTTGTGGAAAGCACTAGCAACGCTGCCATCACTGCGCTGTAACTGCTGCCCCTTGCTTGACGGTGTAAAGCACTGAGTAGTTTTTATTTCAAAGGAATTATATGACAGACTATTGTCAGTATTTCTGAAGGATCTTCTGGAAGTATCTAAGAGTGGAAACCATAATTACAATTTTTTCCTCTAGCTTTGTCAGTCTCTTAGCCAGTGTTTGACATGTAGTTGACACTCAGTAAATATCTGATAGAATTAAAAACAGTAGGTTATTTTTTAGTTTGCAAAAATTTAAGGTAATGAAAATGTTCAATTTTCCCTGAAATAGGGCTGTTTTCTATAAAGCAATGGCTATATGTATAGAATTTCTCATTTCACTGTATTATAACCAAAAAGTCATTAAACTGGTAGTTTGAAACCAAATTTAAACAGTATAATAATTTTTGCTTTATATTTGTCAATATTTATACTTAGCAGTTTTGAAAATGTGAATCTTTTAACTTTTTAACTTGTTTTTCAGGAGAAAGACCATTTATCTGCGAATTATGTGGAAATTCTTACACAGATATTAAAAATTTAAAGAAGCACAAAACAAAAGTCCATTCTGGTACATGTCTATTTACCTATTTTTTAAAAGCAGAGATACATAAGGAAATTAGCTTTATAATGTTCTTAAAAGTGCTCCTCTGCATTTCTTTTTATATTAAGCTTCTGATTAAAAATTTAAAAGCTTGAAATATTTCTTCCTTTAAAACCCTGACTTGTGAACATTTCAAGAATGAAAGAATTTATAAACAAGCTGTGTATCACTATTCCCCATACCATCCTCTTGGTAAGCTAGGATTGACTGTGGTTACTGTTAAAAACAAAACAAACAAAAAAAGCTTATCTCCAGGTATGACAGTGCACACTTGTAATCCCAGCACATGGGAGGCAGAGGCAGGAGGATTGCAAGTTCAAGGCCAGCCCAAATGACATGGCAAGAGAGAGAACAAACAAACAGACAAAAAAAGAGTTATCATGAAGAACAGTCTAGAAATATATGAGGAAGCAAGGAAACCAGCAGCCCCAAATGGTTACAGACTACAAAATTTTAAGCATGTTGCTTAAAGTGAATCCTTGAAGAAGACTTACTATTTTATCTTACCATTTTCTTTTGTCACAGTGAGAAACAAATCACTAAGCTTCTTTAATATGTAAAGATAGTAGATAAATCTCTTACAAAAAACCATAAATATAAAGGTCAGGTTAGAAAATCTTTTAACTGGCTGGTCTGAAGGTAGTGAGTTACCTCAATTGATTGTTCACAATCAGTACAGATTGAATACCTTGTTCTTCTCTTTCCCCCCTTCTCACTACTGCACTTGACTAGTCTTAAAAAAAAAGAAGAAAAAGAAATCTTTAACTGCAGTTGTCATTTTAACAGCTGTTTATGAAGTACCTGTGAGGTGCGTGTAACTGCAGGGAACATAAAGTGAAACGAGCGTAGGACCAGAAAGGGCACGAAGACCAGGAATCTGGGTAAATGGAAAATGTAGTAACCACACAGTGCTGAAGAAGACACGGGAGGTTTTTCTGAGATGCTAGAAAAGGCTTGATCTTGGGGCACTTTAGGGACTGGAAGGATGAAGATGGGGAAGGGAGGCCAGAGAACACTGATGAGTCAGTGTGACAGGAAGGCACAGGTTTCATTCTTGACAGGGTGAACTACGGTCGGGGGAAGATACAGAGAATTGCAGTTTTATAAAAGCAATACGCCTTTTTGTCCAAGGACAATGAAACAAATCCCAGCAGTGCACTGAAGTGTCAGGGCTTGTTAAAACTGGCAGGAAAGTGCAAGGCAAAAGCGCTTCACTTAGAAATAAATAATTGGTCCCCTCTGTACAGCACAGTCTTTTTGCCTCTAAGTTTATATGAAAGTTTCGTATATCTGAACTTACAGAACATTCAGTGAACAAACAGATTTTACTGTATTTCTCTTCAGTACTTCGCGGGAGTTAGAGAAATATAACTTGACATTTACCCTCAAGGAGTTTGCTGTCTCATTTAGAATTCAGCCTGAGTAGAATGTTAAGCATTAATCAGAGACACAGATGCTCCAAGACAGCAGCATACTGAAACTTAACAAAAGTGTAATAAAGTAGGTTAAAAATTCACCTCAGTGTAGTGGTAAGTCCATTTTTATAATGGAGTTGGTGCTTGAACCTAGTCTTGAGACCCGGGCTGAGTTTTTATAGATAATAAAGCAGGGGTGCGAGTAAAAGAGAAACAGTTTCCCCCAAGGGTACAGAATGTTGGAATTCCTGGGAAAGATAAACAGATTAATATTCCTCAAGCATCTTGTTTACTTTTGTTTTTAAAGATAGTATAAATTTTCCCCCCTTTTCATTTCAGGTGCAGATAAAACTCTAGAGTCTAGTGCAGAGAATCATGCTTCGAGTGAACAAGATTCTATCCGAAAAAGTCCTTTGTCAGATACTATGGATGTGAAGCCTTCTGATATGACTCTACCCCTAGCTCTTCCACTTGGGACTGAGGACCACCACATGCTTCTTCCTGTCACAGATAACCAGTCTCCTGCTTCAGATACATTGTTGAGGTCAACTGTGAATGGGTATTCAGAACCACAGTTGATTTTTTTACAGCAGTTGTACTGACATGGTGAGAAACACGGAATTGCTTAGACATCTCGGGTAGTGATACTCATATTACATTTCTGTTTGTTTCGGTTGTGACCATTACTTTGATTCACTGAAGTAAAGCGCCAGATACTGCATCATTACTGCAGTGTTTGTTTTTGATTTTTGGCTTTTATGTCTAGAACATACACATAGCTTTTTAAGAATGAATTCTACTACGGCAGCAGTATTTTGGGTGGATAATTTTTATTCTCTTATTTATTTATTTTCTTTTTTAGGTTATTTTGAAAGAGTCTCACTCTGTAATTCAGACTGGCCTTGAACTGACTATGTAGGCCAGGCTGGCCTTGAACTCTTGGTGATCCTCCTGCCTCAGCTCCACGTGCTGGGATTACAGGCATGTGCCACCATATCTGGCACTTTTATTCTCTTTTAAAACTGCCTTAATTTCTTTTTCTTTTTTTTTTTTGCCATTTTAGAGTTGCCCATCATTTTCTGAAATATAAACTGTCAGTTTGTATCTTTTTTCACTTATAGTATTTTTTTTTCTTCTCTAAATTTAAGCAACATCCATTATAATACCAGCCAAGTGTTACTACTTGTGAATTCCATAGACCAATACATAAAAGTATGGTGAAAAGATGAAATTTCATATTTCTGCCTATGAAAATTTAGGCATGAAAAAGAATCGTACTATTACTTTACTGTGTTCCATTAGAAGTAACTTTTCTAATGAAACTAAAAGCAAATGTTTTTCTTAAAAACTAGAGAACTGTGTATACATTTTTGTTCATGTAGAACTCAGCATTCTGGAGAAAACTGGTCAGTGAAGTCAGTATTTTTGATTTGAGTTGAGACTGTATTTTCAAAATAAACTTTAGATAGATATTTGATGTTTTTATCTAGTCAAAAGAGTTTCAAATTTTGATTCAGTTTATATTAGGTTTGTAGATTATTGGAATGGGGAGTATATACCAAGTTTTGAAAATTTTTGATAAGCCTCTCATGCCTATTATGCACTTTTAAAAAATATTAAATTATAAAAACTTTTCTATATATAAATTCAGTACATACTAGAAATCACTTGGCTTCTAAATTTGATACAGTATATGAATAGTGAAGAAACTTGCCTCGCATGTTTGAAGCCCTGGGTTTGATCCCCGGCACCACAAAAAAACAAAAAATACTAACTTCAATTATAAGTTAACATTCTGAGTTAACAGAAAACTAGTTTATTACACATTTTATATTTGAGTTTTCTATAAACTTCGGGTTTTTAAATTTTATAAATTAAGCCATGGCTTTTGGTTACTGTAGTTTTACAGTGGTCCTTTTCCTTCCAGGTAAAGGAAATTTAGCATTATTCTGATATTTGCTGCCACTTTTCCCCATCCCAACTTTCAGCATATTAATTTATTTCACTGCCTGATCTTTGGTCTTTAAATTACCAGATTCACATAATCCTTTCCTGTAATGCTAATTAAACATCATGGTGACACTTCTTATCTCTGTCATGCATTGTTGTGCTTATTTGTTTTCAGCTTTTAAGCTATACCTTTAATAAAGTTAATGTGTTTATTGACACTGATTTCTTTGATCACAGTTTTCTGTTTGGGGACCAAGTCCATAGGAACCATTTAGAAGATACTTCATTCTCATAGGCTGTGAAGGGATCAGTGTCATCACACCCAGGTTTTAGTCTCCCCTTTCTTAAGTAGGCTCAAGTTAGTTTTCGTTCCGTGCTGTCAGGCAGCCCCAAAGTAGACAGTTTTCTTTATGTAGTTCCAGTCTGGCTGCAGACTTGCAGTGATCCTCTTGCCTCAGCTTCCCAAGGGCTGGGATTAGGTATGTGTCACCACACCTGGTTGACAGTGTTTGATTCTTGGTAAATGAGGAAAAAAAGCCATCAACTGTGGAAGTAAGATAGGTAAAGGAGCAGGTTTAGAGAAGAAAGATACTTTTAGTTTGTGCTGCATTTGACTGGTAGTGAAGTACTTGGGTAACAATGCTTGGCTGTGGTTGGAAATCAGGCCTGAAACCCAGAAGCAGTGAAAGCTCAAGATGTAGCTCTCCCAGCTATCCAAGTAAGGCTATTCATAAAAATGATCAAGGCAGTCTGGGAGGTGGCACAGGAGAGATGACAGAACCTTAAGGAAATCCATGTGAAGGATGAACAGAGATGCAAAGTGATAAAGATTGGAAGAAAGCCAGAGTGGACCAAGTTTTTCAGAGACGGGGGTTTGTAGTGACCACATGATAGAGAGGAAATAAGACATAAAAAAAGGACATTAGGTTGGGTAAGGAGCATGTTTATCCTTTGCAGTGTAACGGGAGTGGGAGCCAGATGGATATGGTTTGAGTGGTAGATACTAAGACAGTGAATGAATAGTTTAAAAATGAGAATGTTAGGTAAAGTCATTTTATCAAATATTTTAAAAGTAACAGTGGCATATACTTTTTTTTTTTTTTTTTTTTTTGGTACCAGGGATCAAACTCAACCTTGCACTTGCCAGGCAGGTGCTAGTGCCACTGAACTATAGCATCATGGAATATACTTCTAACATGACTTTATTTATTGCCTTTTTTTCGTATTGATAGTACTGGGCTGATTTTTGCTTTCAAATTTGAAACAAAATGAGCATAGGATGTGTGACAATGTACTGCAGCATGCTGTATTTCAGCTGGATCTTAAAAGGATGATCACTAAGGAAAAACGTTACATGCTTGCAGATTTATTCAGTGTAATTCAGTGTATGTGTCCTTGAGCCCTTACATATTGGTAAACGTAGAGAAAATTAACTTAGTCTTAGCCATTGAAAGCCTACTTCAATATAAAGCAAATATAATTTATGATATTTTAAAGTACCTAAGTTAGTGCTTAACCTTCTGGGAAAATGTGTATTCTCCCTTTTGTCCCATCTCTCAGATGGTGTCCAGATGTATGGAGAGGGCCCACATAACATCATGGAAACAGCTAGATAGGTTTTTGAGCTCTTCCATTCTCTGGGCATATAAACTAGACCATCAGGTCTTTTCTGGTCACACCCCGTAGGTCTTGGCTGACTCACCACACCTTAGTTCATATAGGTGTGGGAAGTTCTCTGAAGCTGTCCCACCTGCAGCTCTGTCTCCAGCCATCCAGTGTAAGGTCACAGGTTTATCATGTGTCCTCCCACTTCACCTGTCCCCTCCCAAGAATATGGGAACTCATGGACACTTGCATAGCACACAGCAATAGACGGCAAGCTTCACAGGTAAGGTTTACTTCAATGTGATTGTGTCTTAGGCTGAAAGGCCATCTCTCTCCTACTACGTCAAAGCAGTGAAAACTCAATGAATTACTGTTACGTTAAACAGCAGTGAATTACACTAACATTGTTGAGCAAAAGAAGTTGAGATATAACAAGATTATATACCGATTGATTCCATTTCTGTATAGTTCAAATTTAGGCAAAACTACAAGTCAAGGTAATGATTGTCCATGAAAGAATGTGGAGGAGCTGGCGGTCCTGACTTCTTTTGGAATAGGGTACATACAGGTTTATATTTGCTCTCATGAACTTGTGAAAGTGTTAGCACCTATCTATAACATCTAAATAGGACACAGAATACTTTTTTAACTTCTGAACTTTTGAAACTGCTTAATGTTCACTGGGAATTTCCCATTGGAAGTCTTTCTCCCACTTCACAACAACTTTCAGTTAAGATATCTATAGGGACCTTGTATGTTATTTGACAACTTGGTTATATTTTCATAATGAAAATAATTCATGTACTTCCCTGGTTTCTTCAGGGTTGTTTTTAATCTTTATTTTGTAAAATTTCTTTTAAAAATTAGTTTTTCACAATGGACTGCTACACAAAGTACACATTTGATAAAAGTAACTTGTAAATTAAGAAAACAAAAAGTAACCTATACTAAAATCTGTACTAATCTCTCAAAAGCAGTGAGACCATATGTGAAAATCATTTTATAGGCAGTTTTTCATAAATGTTGGCTTACTGGAACAAGAGCAAAACCTGCATTTGTTGAGTGCCCATAAGCATCTCCATAAGTTGGTGTCCAGTAATAATGCTTTTTAAGGCCATTGGAGACTTCTGCAAGATACACATGTCCATCCACCACAAAAGGCTCCACATCTGTATTTTCTGGTTTCAAACGACCCTTTTGAATTAAATCCGCATATGCCTAGGATTTTTAAGAAAAACTATTATCAGTAAGGATATAATTTATTCCATTTACAGTGCTTAAAAAAGGCAAATACGCAGTTTAGCGGTGGTACTTTATTATTGAAAACATTTTGAGCAACTGCTAAATTTTAACATTTTCTAGATAAGCAGATTTTCATAATTTGTTTTGTTTTTGAGACAGGGTCTTGCTGTGTAGATCAGGCTGGCCTTAAACTGTATAGCCCAGGTTGCCCTCAGCCTTCCAGGTGTTTGGATTATAGGTGTGTACTATCATGTCTAACTGACTTTTATTTATACACAATGAAATTATAATACTGTAAAACTTCTGAGTTTTAATATATAAGGATATATTTTGTCATTTGTGATTTCTTGATACTACTGATTTTTGATACTACTGATTATTTTTGATACTGATTTCTTGAGTTAATTTTTGACCAGTTGCCATGGTCAAAATTTTCATTTCCCAAAGGTATCCTTAAATGGTGGTGTGTTGAGCAGGAGGAAGGGCTGTTATATGTGCTTTCAAAACTCTGGTGATAGCTAAGGACTTATTCCTCAGAGAGAAAAGCAGAACTCCAGATTTGAACAAAATTTATCTGGAGTTTATGAACTCTCTGAAGCTAATCTACAGAGTTTGGCTAAGAAAGACAATTTCATAGTATTAGATACTGGCCATAGAGTAGATACAAACGTGTGGAACTGGTTTGTCAATAAAGTTGTAATTATAAGAAAAGGGACAGGAATGTAGACATTAAAAAATTTAAAAGTTTAGCTTGCTCTGCTCTTTTAACTTGTCATTATTATCTACAGAATTAACATATATAGCTTCTAGGATGTAGAACCACTAAAAGATAAGAATGTTTTCTAAAATTATCAGTGTTTTTTAGACCACAGTATATATTTTACTATCCTGTTATTGGTGGAATTTAAGTCCTATTGCAGATTTTAACATCTACTTTTTTTTTCATTCTTTGCAAAATAATACCCTTTATTACTGTCCTCTTTGGATTTTTGTTTATTTGGTCTTTTTGAGACAGGGTCTTACTATGTGGTTCAGGCTGGCCTTGAGCTCACTTTATAGCCTAGGCTGGTCTCAGATTTGTAGTGATCCTCCTGCCTCAGCCTCCTGAGTGCTGGGATTACAGGCATGTGTCACCACACCCAGCTATACTTTTTGTTTTGAAGTTACTGTATAGAACTCTTGTATTTGTATGAGCAATATACCAAATAAATGTTTTGATAGCCTGTACTTTTAATTATCTTGATACAAGTATTTGGGAGCAGATTAGAAATTGTCCAACATCAAATCAACTGTTGTGATTTTGTTTACTTTTGAGAAACTGGAACTGTTTAACTCAAGATCCTTTATATTATTATATGGTATTCAATATATTGTTATTTCAACCATGAAACTTTATAGTACAGGACTTATGTTAAAAATTACTAGAACTGGGCTGGGGATTTAGCTCAGCGGCATAAGCACCTGCCTTGTAAGCAGGTGGTTGTGAGTTCGATCCCCGGTACCGATAAAAAGAAAAAGAAAAAAAAAAGTATAAAAAAATTACTAGAACTGTGGTATCTCATTACACTTTATAACTATTTCCAGGGCACCTGTAAATAATGTCTGATGTGGGGCTGTGGATTTAGCTCAGCACCATAAGCACCTGCCTTGCAAGCAAGCGGTCATGAGTTTGATCCCCAGTACCGATATAAAAAAAATAATGTCTGATGTTACAAAGATCTCAGAAAAGGTCTTCAGTGAAGGAGGAAGAGGAGGAGGAGGAGCAGGTGGAGGACAGAACAAAAAAGCAAACTTACCGCGCACGTGTCCTCGTCAAACTTGTTGCCCCAAATGTAGATATGAGATAGTGCAGGGTTCGTTTTCATTGACTGTGAAAGTGCGACGAGTCCTTCCCCTTCTACACTGTTGCTGACTATTGACAGTCTGTGAAAGTGCAGAAGATAATGATGCCAGATACCAGCAGAGCCATAAAGGGAGGGTGCAGGGGCAGTCTTACTATTTTGTCTTATTCAGTAAATGGTTAGGTTACAAATACAAGTTTCCATCCTATTGAGTGATTATGATTTTTCTGTTAGAATTCTGGAAAATTAATGTAACAATAGAATTTTCTTATAAACTCCCAATTTTATGAACTTTAATAACTAGAATTAAAGTCAACTTTTAAAAAGACATTTCTTTTGAAAAATAGGAATTAAATGTGTACTATAACAAAACGAAATTTAGAAACCAAATTTTCACATTTCATCATAATCTTAGGAGTAAAAGCCCTCGAGGTTAGTATTACAGAATTTTTCTGTTATTTTGATTAAATATAAAACCATACTAACGCTTTAAGACTCCTGTTGTGGGAAGTAAGAGATTCACTGAGGTAGTTTGCACCTGCATTTTCTATTCTGTTAAAAGACAGATCTATCACTTCCAGGGTAGCATTGGTTTTCAGTACATCAGCCAAATACAGCATTCCATCTCGAGTTATTTTATTGCTGGGAAAGGAAAAATATTTAGTGATGCATGAAAATATAAAACACTATGCTTTTATTCACTTTGTTATTCATTTTAATCATTGCATTTTTTAGTTATTGGAAGTAGTATCCAACAGGGTATCTCATATACTGTGAAGATTTACAGACTGTCCTCACGAATGATACGTAAACTGTCACTCACCAGCTGACGTCAAGATACCGTAGGCTGCTGTTCCGATACAGTGCGTTACATAAGTGGTGAAAACCACAGTTTTTTATACCATGCTTACACAGGTGTAGTTCAACAAGGCAGTGATTTTCTTTCAACATGTGACCCAGATGGACTGTGGACTCTTCCTAAATAAAAGATACAGTCTTGTTTCTAAAATGTAACAGTACATGTCTATCCCAAATACATGTTATTTGAATGCATTTTTTAGAAAGATATTTAAAATTGTTAATAATTTGCATTTGGCCTATCCATTTTTGTTCATTAAGCACAACACTACAGTTTATTTAGATGCTTAAAGTGAGTACAAAGGGAAATAAAGATCACAGAATGATACACCCTACACTGTGCCATAATTAGATGGCGTAGTCGAACACACCAGGATGGTGCTGAATTAGAGAAAACAAGTCAAAGCAGTACCTACGGGTTTGCTGCTTTAACAATATACTTTTATACGGATCTTAGAGGTGTCAAAATCACTAGCTTCCCAGTCACTTTTTTTTAAATCAAGAAATACCAGAGCTTTATTAATATATAGACCAAAAGGACTTAATAGTTACAGATATTATATCCAATAACAGCAGAAGCAAGGGCTATAGTTCCGGCACAGTGCTAGCCTGGCAAACACAAGATCACAAGTTCCATCCCTGGCACACACAAAAAAAATGAATAGCAGAATACATCAGTGATGGAACTAATTTCTAGAATAAACCATGTATCAGACCATACAAAGTATTGATCAATCTTTAAAAAAAATTTTCCCCCAAATGATACCTTCTTAGAAATAGTTAGCAGGCACTTGTATCATGCAGTGGCTAAATGATAAAGAAGATGAGTAATCTGATTCACAATCAGCCATGAGTGGTGGTGTACATCTGTAATCCCAGTACTTGGAAGGCTGAGGCAGGAGAATTGCTATGAGTTTGAGGCCAGGCTGGGTTACTTTCTGAGTTCAGGGCCAGCCTGAATGAATGTAGTAAGACACTGTCTCAAACAACAACAACAAAATGATCAATCATTCCCAAAGGGAAATCAATCAGACACACCCCATATTGAGCACGTAAGTTCTGCTCTGTCCTTTGAGGTGTCTCCTTTCATAACCTTGCCCTCTTCCCACACTGGACAGACATTTCCCAATCTTGATTTTATTTTTAAAATATACTTACTGATATGTCTGTTTCCTCCCTTTTTTACTCAGGCCAAATTCCTGAATATTTTAATATTTTTAATCCTTTTTCCTGGTCACGGGAAGACTTTTTTTTTTTTAATTTCATGATCTAACTGCTTCTAGGCAAAAGGTTCATAGCCCTAATGATTTGAATACCAGGCCTTTTTCTTTTTCTTTTTTTTTTTTCTTTTTTTGGTCTTTTTCCTTTTTATCAGTACTGGGGATCAAACTCATGACTGCCTGCTTGTAAGGCAGGCGCTTATGCCGCTGTGCTAAATTCCCAACCCCTGATACCAAGCCTTTTAAGCTTTTAGCTCAATCAAAGCATTATAAACGGAACCATCCTTGTTAAGGAAGGGAACTACTATCACAAATCATAGAGGATTTGAGCTCCATTCTCTAGGATTTGTCTAGAGAGGCACTTCTCATTAATATCTTTCAAAGATACTCATGTCATTTAGCAATCAAAGATGAGCTCCAACATGGTACATTTTCATCTTTCTTTTTTTTTTTTTATTTAAGAGGAAAAAGAGAAAAACACAAAACAAACCAAAGTGGTGTAAGGGTACACGTAATACAGAACTCCAAAAAAACAAAACAAACAAACAAAAAAAACATAACAGTAAGAAATCACCTGTTAGTAGATTACATATTATCATCTTGAAAATAGTTCCTCAAATCACAGTATCAAAGAATACAAGGTGGACATTCAAACAGGGAGACTGCAAACAGCTGTGTTCAATGATCCAAAAACATTGATATAGTCAGCTATTTAACACCCCTAAACACACTTGCTGTTATATCCGTTAGAGCTCTTTTTCTTTTTCTTTTTTTTTTCCTCTCTTTTTTACAACAAAATTTACACATTTTGGATTTTATTACTCCTTAGTGCTTATTACTTTTTTTGCAGGGGAGAGAATACAGTCAAATATGGCAAAACAAAGCTGTCAGTCAATACCAAGGATAGACATAGCACATGGTGTAGAACAGAGTACAAGTTTATCAACAATGGTTATCAACGTTGTCCCTTGTTTCCTTAAAAAGAATTGTCTATCTCATTAGATATTATAAAGTTGGACAAAACAGTAGAGAACAAGACCAATAAAACTTAGGCATTGTAAACATTACAGGACTTCCAAAGAAGACAATAGTCAAACCAGAATGGGTATCTTAGTGAATCTTATTGTCTTCAAAGTAGTTGCCTATGTCTTCAAACTTGATACTATCATATAGAATGGAACAGAGTCTAATCAGTCAAAACAAGATCGTGGGAGTACTACAGGACTTCAAAACAAGTTAATAGGAAATAAAAAAGAGTTACTATTTATATATCCTAATTTTTTGAATTTTTTCTTTAATTAAGACAAACATAAGAAATGACTAAATAATTTTTTTAAAACAATAAGGGGGAGATTGAGATAAAACAGGACATAACAATATAACAATAGAGGTCACAGCATGACTGTTTCAAAAACCTAGTACTTCACCACCATATAACCTGACTTAATAGTAGTTACCATAGTGTCTTTTTCCTTGAAATATTTGGATAAAACTTCATATACTCTAGCTTCAAATATTTTCATATCAAGAAGCCCAGAATAAAGCCTTTCTAATTAATGAGTGAAAACTTTATAGGGCTCCAAGGCCACCTAATGGGGAATCATGATTACCACATATTTTTATATATTTGAATCATTACTTACATTAGGGAAACTATTTGGTATTCACACATGCGAGATTGATTTATTTCACTTATGAGTATGGTCTCAAGCTGCGCCCATTTATTGATAAATATCTCAATGTGATCCTTCTTTATAGCTGAATAATACTCCATTGTATAGAAATACCACAACTTTTTTATCCATTCCTCAGTTGATGGACACTTGGGTTGTTTCCAAGATCTGGCGATTACAAATTGTGCTGCTATAAACATAGGTGCACATATATCACTGTGGTATGATGCTTTCAGTTCTTCTGGGAATATGCCTAGAAGTGGAATAGCTGGAATAAATGGGATTTCCAGTCCCAACTTTTTGAGAAATCTCCAGACAAATCTCCACAAAGGCTGTACCAGTCTACACTCCCACCAGCAGTGCAGGAGAGTTCCTTTTTCCCCACAGCCTCTCCAGCATTTGTTGTCAGTTTTCTTGATCCTGGCCATTCTTTCAGGAGTGAGATGGTATCTCAGTGTGGTTTTAATTTGCATTTCTCTAATGACCAATGATGATGAGCATTTTTTCATGTATTTATTTGCCATTTGCATTTTTTCATCTGAGAATTGCGTATTCATCTCAGATGCCCATTTTTGGATTGGATCTTTGAATTTTGGAGGTCTGAGTTTCTTTAATTCTTTATATGTTTTAGACAAGAGGCCCTTGTCTGAGAGAGAGTTCACTAAAATCTTTTCCCAGTTTGTGGGTTTTCTTTTCACTATGCTGGAGATTTCTTTTGACATGCAGAAACTTTTTAATAAGAAGTGGTCCCAGTTATTGATTCTGGGAAGTATTTCCCGTGCAGTTTGAGTCCTGTTCATGAATTCTTTACCTACTCCTATGTCTCCAAGGTTTCTACCTAATTTGTCTTCCAATAAATTTAGTGTTTCTGTTTTAATATTCAGATCTTTGACCCATTTAGATTTTAATTTAGTACATGGTGATAGACATGGGTCTAGCTTTAGTTTTCGGCAAATGGAGAGCCAGTTTTTCCAGCACCATTTATTAAAGAGACTGTCGTTCTTCCAGTGAACCTGGTTGGCTCCTTTATCAAAGATAAGGTGGTTGAGTGTGTTCGTAGTTGTGGTTGTATCTTCTAATCTATTCCATTGATCTTCGGCTCTGTTTTGATTCCAATACCATGTTGATTTTACTACTGTTGCTTTGTAGTATAACTTCAAGTCAGGGATTGTGATGCCTCCTGCTTTGTCTTTGCTGCTTAGAATTGCCTTTGTGATTCTAGGTCTCTTCTGGTTCCAGATGAAATTTAGGAGTGATTTCTCTAGATCTATAAGGTATGTTGATGGTATTTCTATTGGGATTGCATTGAATCTGTATAAGAGTTTTGGGAGAATGGCCATTTTCACAATGTTTGTTCTTCCTATCCATGAGCAAGGGATGTCTTTCCATTTTCTGAGATCATCTTCAATTTCCTTTTTCAGTGTATTATAATTTTCACTGTATAAGTCTTTCACTTCTTTCGTAAGAGTAATTCCTAAATATTTCATTTTTTTGCTTGCTAATGTGAATAGTCCAGTTTCTCTTATTTCCCTCTCTGTAATTTTGTTGTTCATGTATAGGAATGCTATTGATTTCTGAGTATTGATTTTGTATCCAGCCACATTACTGAATTTATTTATTGTATCTAAGAGTATTTCAATGGAGTTTAGGGGGTCTTCTATGTAGAGTATCATGTCATCTGCAAACAATGATAATTTAACTTCTTCTTTTCCTATCTTTACCCCTTTTATTTCTCTTTCTTGCCTAATTGCTCTGGCTAGTACTTCCAGTACTATATTAAATAGGAGTGGTGATAAAGGACATCCTTGTCTTGTGCCCGATTTTAAAGTAAAGGCTTTCAATTTTTGGCCATTTAGTATGATGCTGGCTGTTGGTTTGTCATAAATGGCCTTTATTATATTGAGGTAAAGACCATTTATTCCAATTTTCTGTAAAGTTCTTATCATGAATAAGTGTTGGACCTTATCAAAGGCTTTTTCTGCATCTATAGAAATGATCATGTGATTCTTATTTTTGGCTTTATTGATATGGTGGATTACATTTATTGATTTGCGTATGTTGAACCATCCTTGCATTCCTGGGATGAATCCCACTTGGTCATGGTGTATAATCTTCTTGATGATTTGCTGGATCCTATTTGCCAATATTTTATTGAGGATTTTTGCATCTGTGTTCATTAGGAGATCGGTCTATAGTTCTCTTTTATAGTTGGGTCTTTCTCAGGTTT